ACAGAGTAGAACTGTCTCATAGGGTTCCCAAGGCTATAATCTTTACGGAAGTAGATTGCCACATGTTTCTCCTGAGGAGCGAGGAGCGAGGAGCAAGGAGTGCCTGGTGTGTTCCAACTGCTAACCTTTCAGTTAGCAGCTGATCATTTAACCTTTGCACAGCCAGGGCTCCTCTTGTCCCTTGATCTAACCTATTTTACCTAAAAAGCCTGTTGTTTGAATTTTGAATAGCACTTGTGACCATTTGTTGAAACATACTAGGAATAAATCTAGCTTCTATAAGAAGAAGACACATATGAAAGGATTAGTAGAATTGTAAGAAAACGATAATTCCTTTTTGACTCGTTGCAGATAAAAATCGAGACAGACTTAGTTTGTTCTCCTTCAAAAGTACTTTCTGTCTCCTCTCAGCTGGCCAGATTCTGTCACATGGCACTTAGGTCCTGAGTTTGTGTGAGTCAACAAATGGGCAACAACAAATGTTCAGCCATCTTATTGGTGTCAAGTCCAGCAAATTGGCAGATTGTATGAACGCACCAAATGCAAAAAGAAGTTTGCATGAGCCAAGCATTCCAAATGAGGACAGCAGCAGCTGGTTATATCCTTAAGAACAGAAATGCTCTTCCTGATCTTCTAATCTGCTGTTGCCCCAGGTTGGGAAATTACCGCTGTAAGATTTAAAAACTTAGGACTCTGAGATAAAAGTTGCCTCTTTGAACTTTTCAGCTCTAAGAGCTTCTTGTTATCCAACCAGCTGGAGATATAGAGACATATTATGCCTCCTTATACAATTCTTGAATCACTTCCTACATCAATGGTAGGCTTAAGAATTAATATTTTTTTAGTCAATGATGTAAAGTACTCATCAATAGATCATGATGATTTTCAGAACAGGTTCCCTTCAACTAATAAAATGTATTCATATTGGTAACTGGAATACAAAATTCCTAGACCTGTTCTTGTTTTGCACTCAGAACTTAAATGAACCCCAGGAATACCTTCAGGGTAATGAAAAAAATTCAGTTCTTCCTTTGCTCTTTCCTACAACTAATCCATTTTATGTCTGTACAATTTTCATCTTCATCTGTCTTCCCCCGCCCACCGCTACCACCCCTCGTTCTAATTCTTCTTTGAAATCTTGAAGTCAGAAATATGGTTTTATGCTTTGGAAGTTTGTTAATTTCTAATTGAAATTCAATATCTCTTGTTCATTATTCAATCCTAAACTTGATATGGGAAACATTTCCTGGTAAATTAATAAAACTGGCTTTACATCTAGCTATAAACATTCAAGTGGCAGGTAGGAGGGACTTCTGATCTGGTTGGTCTTTCACCTTTTTTGATCAAAGGAAATGGGTAGACCACCTGACCTATAAATTTTCTTTTTTTGTGTGATTTTATAGAGTCAGGAGAACATTTCCATGGATAATTTTATTTATATATTTAGCTTAAATCTCAATCCACCATTTATAAAACCCACAAACTCCTGGGCTATCATTTTGGTTGCAGACTTGGAGCTCCCTTTTTGGTTGGATTCTTTGTGGTGGGTGGATGTGTGTCTAATGGGGGTGACTTAAAGGCAAGACAGATTTAAGGATATAATTTAGTGCCATTCTGCTGACTGCACTTTCTGCTCTACGTGACTCTTCATATATTTTACAATTTTAACAATATTCAGTTGATCTCTTTAAGTCTCAGCCTTCTTGAAGGCAGACATCACAATTTTGTGACTCTTTCATACATAAATAGTGGCTCAATAAATGTGTCTGATCATGACATTAGCCATTCTCTGTTAACTTGAGTACTTTTTTTTTTTTTTTACAGTGTGTATGAATCAGTGAATATTTAACAAGTAACTTGATTGCTATTAAATGAAGCATCTTTATTTTGGCTTATTCCCTGCCCCAATTTTAAGTTTTTAAATTGAAATCTAGCATTTAACTACTGCTGTTAACTCTACTTCTTTTAGTTTGGCATACCAAATATGGGAGAGTTCTTCAGGTGGCCAAGTAGACTTTTCCTGACCTTGAATGTGGTTTACCTGGTATTACATTTTAAAAAACTAAAAATAAAGTATGTCAGTATTTGCTGTTTTAGGATAGCATGAGCCCTCGGGCTTTCCCAAAAATCATTTTTAAAGTCTAGTGTGCAGTGCCTGACATCGATGTTTTTAACTAAAAGGCATCTTCCCTGAATTTGGATTTAAGTGACCATGGAATGCAATGCAGGGAGAGGTTGCTGTGGGTTAATCTCTGGATACTTCATAGTTGACAGGCACTGGCATCTGTGGTTTGTATTGCATTGTTCTTTAGGCCTAGAAATAACATTTCTTCTATTTGCGCAGTTTTAAAGCTGGAGGTAAAACAAAACACGTATGATTTAGGAAAAAAAATCTGCCATTTGAAAAGTAATTCATGGCACTGGTAAGGTTCAAGTAGCCCCCAAGAGCTCATTTTTCATGGTGGCGTGTACATCAAGGTGTATTCCTCTTGTTTAGTAACATATTATTATATTCATGTGCTTTAATCTGGATGCCATATATTAGTGGACATAGACTTTTCGGGGAAGAGTGTATTTTTATATACATATACATTCAGGTTAAGGCATTATTATTTGGTGTGTTTCCACAGCACAACAAAAAAAATCAAAGAAGATGCTTTTGTTTTAATATAATGTTAATGGAGTTTCATAATAGATTTCTTTGTAGAAAGTTGAGCAGACCACAATTCATTTATATGCAGTCGTAGAGCTCTTGGACCTATAATGTAGGGCATACAATCTTATTAGAGAGCCCTTTAAAATCAATAAAAAAAAAAAACCTTAAAAGTGTTGTAGCATTTGAATTCATTCTTTAAAAAAAATCTATTTTCAATTACATTACTCTATCTAAATGTACCACAGTGAGTTTATTTAAAAAATAATTTTATCCTATATATATATTCGCAGCTGTCAAAAATACATGTTACTCTTTGTACAAATGCCTGTTCTCAGCCTTTTTAAGAACCTAATCCTTGAGGTGGCCATTTTGCTGAAAAGCAGTTACAGAAAGCAGTCTATCAGGCTGGCCTGAATCTTGCTGAAAGAGTATCGTAATATACTGCTTCACTCAACATGAGCTTTCTTTCTGAATTTTAGAATGAAATAAAATTAAGGTCAAGGAGCCAAAAAAAAAAAAAAAAAAAAGATATAAATCTTGCAGGGGGAACATTCATTAGCATCCACTCATCCAGCTCTCAAATCTAGCAGCTGGGCTACCAAGGTACTGTTATCATACTGATATTGAGCTAATATCAAATTTGATGAAACGTGCTGGCAGTTATAAAGGGCAGCTGATAATAATGGTGCAAACTCAACAAAAAAGTTTAGTAAAATCTGCAGGAGGTGTTTTCTGTCATTTGGCCTTGTTCTGTTGACTGTTGGCATTTGCTTGGCAAGAGGTAGGCGTTGCTCTTATCTCCCCTGGCTAGAGAAATTTTAATGTACTTCAAAGTACTGAGCGTGCACTTCTGTTACTGCTCCCCTCCCTGCCCTAACAAGACAAATGAAAGCTGTGCACTTCTGTATTGAGTAGGAAAATTCACCTAAACTAACATCACACATGTGAACCTGAAAGCAATTGTATTTTTTGTAATCAAAACAAAAGACGGCTCTTTGACTACTGAAAGTTTATTCTTTATGTTCATGATGTAGTCAATGGACATATAATCTTAGAAGACAGGGTAATTTCACATTTTTTTCCTTGTAAATTGATGGTGTGTGTGTGTGTGTATGTATGTGTATGTATACATACATATATAGATATTAGGAAAAAAAAATTGCCATCAAGTCAATTTTGACTCATAGTGACCCTATAGGACAAAGTACAACTGCCCCATAGGATTTCCAAGACTGTAATGTTTATGGGAGCAGACTGCCATCTTAGAAGATAAGGCAACCTCAGATTTTTTCCTTGTGGATTGATGGTGTATGTGTGTATGTATACATGTATATATATATATATATACACACACACACACACACACACACACACATATAAATATTGGGAGCCCCAGTGGTGCAGTGGTTTAAGAGTTCAGCTGCTAACCAAAAAGTCAACAGTTCGAGTTCACCAGCCACTCCTTGGAAACCCTGTGGAGCAGTTTTGCTCCGTCCTATTGGGTCGCTATGAGTCGGAATCCACTCTATGGCAACAGGTTTTTTTTGGTTATATAGATATTGAGCCCTGGTGGCACAGTGGTTAACAGCTTGACTACTAACCAAAAGGTAGGCAGTTCAAATTCATGGCACTCCTTGAAAACCCTAAGGGGCAGTTCTACTCTGTCCTGTAGGGTCACTATAAGTCAGAATTGACTTGATGGCAATGAGTTTGGTATATAAATATAGATGTATACGTATATATATATATATATATAGAGAGAGAGAGAGAGATGGGTAAGAAGGTCATTGATAATTTATTTAGTATGCTGTCCTTATGGTTAATTTTTAAAGTTCTATTGTGAAAATCTATATAGCAAAACATTTGCCAATTCAACATTTTTTTTACACGTACAATATACCTCAGTGATGATGGTATATTTTGATTCTTAACCACTTCTGTGTGAAGTTAGATGAGCTCTTTTATATAATTATGTATTTTAAAACACATGATTGGTCACGTTTCTGCCCTGCAGAGTTTGTGAGAGGAAAGCCAGCCTAACAATAGGGCCAATTTGCCTAATTAAAGTCATGCCCTAGTGGGTTAACATGATATAGATGTTTGGTTTTAAAAGAGCTTAAAAAGAGTACTGAGTCCTGAAATGTTCTGTTTGGAAAGCTTTTCTCTATTCAGTTTGCCTTTAACATGGCTGGTGACCCTTAGTTAGAATGATATACTTGCCTGTGATGCCTATTTGAGAAGATACAGCGTTGGCGTGCCTATGTGTTATTATTTTTAATGTATTAAAACGTAAGATTCCTGTGCTTGGCATTTCTAAGTGCTTGTCTTTTCTCTTCTGTTTCAGGTGTGAATCATGACGATGTGGTGAAAGACAGTGATTTATTGCTTTGGAGGACATGCATGTGTATAATTAAACGATGTAAGTGCAGGGCTCCAGGATTTACTTCCTTCCAGTTCCAGCAGGGATACCTGAATGGAGTGAGTAATGGGATAATTTATAACACCACAGGCCCTTCATCAAGAGACCATGAACAGGAAGATAAAACTCAGAAGGTTTCTCCTGGAAGAATACAATTTTTGATACTCTGGACATTCCTCTTAATTGCGAGTAGTAGAGTCTTCAGAATTTCCTGGTCTTATTTTTTCAAGGAGATTCCCATGAAAAAGGTTAGTGTGTCAATACTAGTTAAATCATGTAGATATTCTGTAAATGTTATACATCTTTCCTGCATATTTTTTTCTTCTTCTTGATATTCTTATGTTGTTGGAACATCAAAGAAACTTAGTAGCCTAATTATAGACCTCAGGTTCTTTTTTACAAGGTCAAGGAATTATCGAGTGTTAGGAGCATGATGACAAATTCAGCAACTTTTTTTTTTTTTTGGCAGGAGTAGGTAGGCAGAGCTTACCAAATACTGTCGCTGTTGTTGTGTGCCATCAAGTCAATTCCGTCTCATAGCGACCCTATGGGACAGAGTAGAACTGCCCCATAAGGTTTCTTAGGCTGTAATCTTTTCTTAGGCAGATTGCCAGGTCTTTACTCCCACAGTAAAGTGGGAGTTTGGGGAGTTTGAACTGCTGACCTTTCTGTTAGAAGCAGAGGGCTTAACTATTGCACCACCAGTGTTCCTTTACCAAATACTAGTGGCCTATATTTCTTAGAATCTTTTGTTTTAAATTATATGTGCTTCACTCCAGTTCTGAGATGATGAAATGAGAGATGGGATGTGTGTGTTTAGGGTAAGGAGGTTTAGCTGGCCTTGGAGAGGGCGTTGTCCAGGAATTTTTTTTATAATGCAAGCAAATAGAGGAGGAATTGAGCGGAAATCTGGTATCATTCAAATGGTTTGTTTCATCACCAGTAGCTCTTCATGCAGGAACCTGTGGCACAATGGTTAAGCACTCAGCTGTGAACCGAAAAGTCGAGGTTCCAACCCATCAGTGGCTCCAAGGGAGAAAGATGTGGCAATCTGCTCCTGTAAAGATTACAGCATAGGAAATCCTATGGGGACAGTTCTAGTCTTTCCTGTTGGATCGCTGAGTCGGAATGACTCACTGGCACACAACAACAGCTCTTCGTGAAGGCTTCTGTGCTTTGTGTGTTTTCATGCCTTTTAAAAATGCAAGATACAGCATTTTGAACAAAATTGTCCTAAAGTTAAGGTATATCGTGGCTTCGGAATTGCTTATTGTCTAGACGCTATGGCATTACCTAATTTGATAGGATCTTCTGATTTGTAATTGTTGGTGACATTAGATTCACGAAAACTGTGTACCACAATGTCCACAAGTGATACTTTTATCCCAAAAATATTAATTTCACCTTCACTTTGGAATGTCTCAGTGGCTGGCAGTAGACTTCTTATATTAAAGATTGTTTAGATAAAATTGGAATGGCTCCAAGCTCTTCCTTCTCTCCCATCTGCTGTAGTGACTAAAACATTCCCATAAATAACTGGTCTCCTTTGAACTGACCTTTAGGTTCATATGATGTAAATATTGATGGCCTTGACATTTTTTGATATGTGCACAGTTCAAGAGGCACAGTATCTCCATGTAACTAAAAGCAGGTGGAAGAGTGGGTAGACAGCCATGACTCTCTGATAGCTATAATTCAGAGGGGCCCTTGCCAGAGTCTTGTTTTTTGGACTTTGTGCAGGGAGAATGTCTCATAAGCAAAGTAGTCTACAGGTTCAGGCCTTCTTGGCATTTCTGTATCCATATATTCCTGGATCAAACAATGTTTAGTTACTCTGTCCTTATAATAAAATGTTTTCTAGAATAAATACGTAATCAATCAGTCTATTCCTCATTTTTCACAGATTGTGTATTTGCAAAGGTGCCTATTCGCTAAAAATGTTCAAGGCTTTTCTTGGTCATTAACAAGTGTGCACATGCGCAGAGCAGTGAAAAATTCCCAGCAGAAGTTAAACAAAGATAGTTCTGGCTTTGCTAATACAGCGTTCACTGAGGCTTTATAGCTACTGTGAATATTTAAGTGAGTTTTTTTTCCGCTTTGGAAATTAAGGACCCTAGTTCTCCTGGCAGAGTGATAAAGTATAGTTGCTAAAGTGCCTGCGTTCTAGAGCAGAGCTTCCAGGTTCAGATCTTGGTTTCACTACTTACTAGAAATGTTACTTCAAGCAAATTATTTAACCTCTTTCAGCCTCATTTTTCTCCCTTATAAAATGAGGATAATTTTGTACTCCTTTATAAAATGAGGATAGAGTGGGGCCAAGATGGCGGAGTAGTCAGATGCTTCCTGTGGTCCCTCTTACAACAAAGACCTGAAAAAACAAGTGAATCAATTATATATGACAGTCTAGGAGCCCTGAACATCAAAGACAAAGTTGAGGAATCAGACTGCGTGGCAGGGGAGGGAGAGACGGTTCAGAAACAGCGAGGAGTTGCCAGACCTGACCCGGTGGGAACTGACACCCTGCAGCCAGGATTGGAGGACATTCACGGTGAGGCAAGCAGTGGCATGTGGAATGCATTTTCTACATTGGGAGAGATCGAGTGGTGGAGAGTCTACTCAAGCTTCCAGAACCAGTGAAAAGTGGCGCTCAATTGAAAAAAGATAAGTACATGCGTCTAACCCACCACGCATATCGAAAAACACCCCATTTGGAAAGAACCTCTCTCCCATTTACCTGTCTCCTCCCTGCTCTGCACCAGATCCTGGGCTGGCTTCAGCAATTGCCGTATCCCCTGGGCTGGAAGTAGGACCCGTCACGAGTCCTGAGCCATTCTCCGGGCCTTGGAGAGGGAACAAATTAACAAAAAGGGAAAAAATAATCTGCCAGCTTCCCTAAGCCAGGAACTCAGGGCAGGCACAGCTCCTTTGCCTAGGCACAGGCATAAGGGGTCCACAGACTTTGAATGCCTTTCACCCCTGCACAGGCCTGTGTGGACCCATTTCAACAGCATAGATCCTCATTAGCACAATACAACAGGGTATATACCTGAAGCCTAACTTCAACTATATCAGCTATGTGGTGGAGTGGCAGGTTTGTGACATTTGACACTGCTCTGTCCATTAAGCAGGGTCCTCACCTACTCACATCAGGGGCCTGAGGACTGGTGGCTCCACCCACACCACCTAGCCACTGATGACAGGGTCCAAGAATAACTGGTGCCTCCCAGTCCTTATAGCCAACAGCAGTGGGTGCCCATAGTCCGGCTGCGAAACTCACCCAACTATGCACTCTAGGGAACAGGGACACCTTTTCCTCCCAGATGCTCATGGGCAGCCATCAGCCCCCTGCCTTGCTCAGTGAGTGACCCCCTACTGCAGCCAGCTACCTGTGTCTACTCCGATCACCCCTGCCCATCTAGGGCTGTAGGTGAGACCCTGTACCACACACTTGGTGACTGACTACCTGGACACCTGAGCTGAATCCATACAAGAAAAGTAAACAGATCCTGAGCTCACATACCTAGTAACAGCACTAACCACCTGGTGACAGGACATTAGCGTTTCAAAGGTGCCAGTAATCAAACTAGCTCACATGAGCAGCCTATTTGGGCATATTAAAACAAAACAAGAAGCTAGAACACAGTAAGCAAACATAAATAAGTGTAGTAACTTATTGATGACTCGGAGACAACAGTCAAATCACATAAAGAGGCAGACTATGATGGCTTTGTCAAGCTCCCAAAACAAAGAATCAAGAAATCTTCTGGAGGAAGAGAACTTCTTGGAATTACTGGAGGTAGAATACAAAAGATTAATATACAGAACTCTTCAAGAGATTAGGAAGGAGATCATGCAAAATGCAAAACAAGCCAAGGAACACACAGACAAAGCAAAAGAGAAACTTAAGAAAATTAGAGAAGAGCATAATGACAAAATTAATAGGCTGCAAGAACTCATAGAGAGACAGCAAACAAATCCAGAAGATGAACAATAAAATTTCAGAAACAACTCAATAGAAAGTCATAGGAGCAGAATTGATGCAGTGGAAGTCAGATTGAAGACAAAGCACTTGACACCAACTTATCTGAGGAAAAATCGATAAAAGAATTTAATGAAATGAAGAAACCCTAAGAATTATGTGGAACTCTATCAAGAGGAATAACCTACGAGTGATTGGAGTACCAGAACAGAGGAGGATAACAGAAAATACAGAGAGAATTGTTGAAGATTTCTTAGCAGAGAACGTCCCTGATATTGTGAAAGATGACAAGATATCTATCCAAGATGCTCATCGAACCCCACATAAGGTAGATCCCAAAAGAAAGTCAACAAGACATATTATAATCAAACTTGCCAAAACCAAAGATAAAGAGAGAATTTTAAGAGTAGCTAGGGATAAATGAAAAGTCATCTATACTCAGCAGAAACGATGCAGGCAAGAAGGCAATGGGATGACATATATAAAGCCTTGAAGGAAAAAAACTGCCAGCCAAGAATTATATATCCAACAAAACAGTCTCTCAAATATGTTGGTGAAATTATGGCATTTCCAGATAAACAGAAGTTTAGGGAATTTGCAAAAACCAAACCAAAATTACAAGAAATACTAAAGAGAGTCCTCCGGTTGGAAAATCAATAACATCAGATAACAACCCAAGACTAGAATAAAATGAGGATAAATTTGTACCCTGGATGGTACAAGTGGTTAACATGCTCAGCTGCTAACGAAAAGGTTGGCAGTTAGAGTACACCCAGAGATGCCTTAGAAGAAGTGATCTACTTCAGAAAAATCAGCCATTGGTACCCTGTGGAGCACAGAGACACTTAGGGTCACTATGAGTTGGAATTGATTCCATAGCAACTAATATTGGTAGTAATGTTTACTTTTTAATTTTTTTTTTCAGAATTAAATGAGGACTATCCAGTTCAGATTAGCACTTTACTGAAGATTTCTTTAAGAGTTAGCTGTTATTACCAAGCATTCAGGTATCCTGTGACCACAGGATGAAGCTAATAAGACCAGGAGCTTAAAAAATACATATATTTGGGGCTTCACACTCCTAGAGCATATATAGTCAGTTACGTGGAAATCATATATTGAAAAAAAAATTAGAATATAGGTCTGATTTTGCAAAATGGTTTAACAAGTTTTGTTTGACTACTGGTTTTAAAGTAATCTTACTGGTTTTAT